AGGAAGGCAACAACTGTGATTGTTTGTGTCTATGTGCAATCCTGGATAGATTGTTATCACGCAGCATCTGATGGTTGAAAATGAGCTGCTCTAAGTAAGGTAAAGTGCAGATGTTTTATGATTAATGTTCAGAAATGCAGAGTCAAGAGAAACAACCATGAATTATTCTAACGGACATCTGATCCCTTCTACGCTCATTCCAAATGCATGTTTTCCCTTATGCCTACAAAATGTATTATGCCTTTTCCATAATCCTGGATCCATTCATACCCACACCAACACTCTTATCTCTACCCCTGCCTCTAATGCCTTTCAAGACTATGCCCATATCCTTCCCCTCCACGCTAGGTCCTTGCAAACCATGCTTTCCTCCTGGTCTCACTCCATCAGAGATTTAGACAACAAAGGCCACTGGAATGCAGCCCCACATTTGTGTACACTATTATTAGTGTAGTTGAGTGGTTTTGTTCAGAACCCAAAAGGAGTGGAATCATTCCTTTCCAAATCTATCACCCATTGCAAAAACAAAAGCAGGAGAGATTCACATGACTTTGAAAGTGAAAAGAGGGACTAAGATACTCTTCAGAGAGATGCAGATAAGAAAACTACCTACAAATATTGTACACAACGTCTACATATAACTCCCACGCAGCAGAAATTGGGAAGGGGTGTATGATATTTACAATGCCATACAAAATTACATTTGCACATTGCCTTTCACATCAGGAGGATGTCCCAAGGCGTAGTGTTTACCTATATTTGCTCACACTATCCAATTTAGGCTACAAACCATATGCAGTATTTTCCTTCTTGTTTGCCTATCTGATCAGGGGTTTATCTTTCTAAATTCCTTTGTTTTGCTTCTGTTTTTCATCACTTTCTGTCAAGGAGGACAGGCCCTAGGCAATGTATGTGCTTTAAACATCACGTGAGGGGTGCAGTGGATAAGGTTGTTATGGTTAGGAATAATAATGAGACCAGAATAACCAGCAAAAACTGATATAGCAAGAAAAGCTGGAACACTGTCTACTTCAGTGTCAGAAATACCAGTACCCCTGGTAACAATGAAAGTGTGAGCTATTTAGGCTTGGAGCAAAATATGCATGTGTATATATTCACACGCGCACACTGTAATTTTTTTCCACTGAAGCCTCAATGGCTCGTCTGACCACCACAGTGGCAAATCGTATATAATGCTATACACACAGGTAAAACTCAAAGGAAATTCATGCACTCACTGCCGAGTCACATTTGTCAGCTCACTGCCTAGTTTATTTTGCTCATCTCCACTTGTCTTTGACAATCTCTTTTCCCTCCTTCCACACTTATACCTGGGTCTCCGCAAATAATAATAATAATCCTTGAATTTGATATAGCGCTTTTCACATCTTCTAGACGTCTCAAAGCGCTTCACAGAATATACTGTAAAGTGATTTGACTGCATATTTGTGGGCAAAACGCGGCAGCCAATTGTACACAGCAGTGTCCAACAAACAGACGTAGATTGAAGTGACCAATTTATTATTGTTTTTTTTTCTTGAGGGATTATTATCAGGCGTGTGGAGTAAGGAAATTTGCTCAAGGTTTTGCCCTACCAGGAATCGAACCCAGGTCTCTCCAAGCAAATCATGGTTTCTAATTGTAAAGGTTTTGTCACTTCTCATCTTTGGAAACTTAAATTCTCTTTGGATTTGTCTCTCTTTTTCACTCAGTTCTGGGAACTGGCAACCACCATGCTTTATGCACTACCAACCTGAATCTGGTTGCCTGACTTATATGAAGCCTTCTACAGCTCCCTAGAATCTCAACCAATCCAACTTCCAATTTATCCAAATACCAGTTTGTGGTTCCAGTCTAACTGATATTGTGTCTTTTTTGACCTCCAAATTGTTTTTTTGAAGCTCACATCAGGGCTCTTTCTCACTCAGCTTCCTCTCACATCCATGCCGTTGCCCACCTCCACCACTACCTCTTTCCTTTGGGTTGCCGAGATGCTCATTCACATTTTCATCACGCCCAGGCTCAACCATGTTAATGCTCTGCTTGCCAGATTTCCCAGCTCTTCCCTGCACAAATTGCAGTCTGTGTCCTCTCCTTATGTAGTTCCATCAGTCCAGCTAGAATCACTGTTAGAGCTTTGCCTTGCAGGATTAGCAGGTACCAAATGGGAAGAATCCCTACTCATAGTTTGGTTGCTAGGAGGATAATCTATTAAGAAAAGCATTATGTCACAATAATCGTGAATTTAATACATGTTCTCTCACTCCTCTTCAGACTAAATTGACCACTCTTCCCTTCCCTTTTTTTCCCCCGAGAGCTGTTACAAGCTATTAAAAGAACATAGTTTGGGACTGGATGACCAATCTTGTTACCAGGTTCAGCAATATCATACGTAGATTCTGTAATAAAGCAGGATTATTTCTAGTAAATGAGGGCACTGTGTATCTAATTTCATTCAAAATGCTTGGCTTAAGGATACAGGATAGATCCTGCTGAAACTGACTGGATAACATGTGACTGCACAATGTTCTGCACAAATTTGAATTAGGGTGTGTGATCTCAGCTGCACGACCCTCAGCAATATTTTGCTTTCTTGTATCTTAAATTCAACTAAGTGAAACACTCCATTCTAATTGCCAATTGATAGAGACTGTAGATATGTCGCAGGAAAATGGTGATAGCCAGTCAGGGTGCTTTGTTATAGATCATTGAATGTGCTAGCAAGACACAACATCTGGTCTGGTACTATGGAGGTGGTCAAGAAGAACAAGTGAAAATAAATGGTTAATTATACAATTAATGACTCTTTCGCACTGATTAATTGCAAAACTAAATGAACTCTTAATTCCCTCTACAGAACATGCATTTGACAGAGTGCACAATAGAACTGTTTTCATATGGTTTCCAAATATTACTGAATGGACCTCCATGTTTAAAGATGTTATAAATATCTCATGAGAAACAGCACAAATAAAGGTTTCCTCAATGTTTATCAAACTTCACCCACTCTCTTGCCATTCACAATTCTTCCTTTTTATTGACTTTTTTTGTAATATTTCAAACAACATCAAAGTCTGACAATTGTGAGAACGGGGATGGAAATAGGAAATCATGCACATGACCTATTTTTGTGGAGGGGAGGCTGAGAGAATGGTGGGTATTATCTTCCAAAATACTATCCNTTTTCCTTTTCAGTTATTATTGCAGCTCTAGCATTTTCTTTATACACTACTTCAAATCTCCAGCATCTATAATTTATTTTAAATCACAGTTAAATAAAATGAACCCGTATAACACTTGGAAGAAGGAAAAATGTGAACAGACTAGTTCAGATGATACAAATACTGTGTGCCATCCTTACAGATGAGACATTAAAACCATCTGCTTCTTCAGGTAGACATTAAAGATGGCAACAACAACAACAACAACTACAAAATGACACTTATATAAAGTGCCTTTCACGTCGGAAATTTTTTTTGGAATTTTTTTTCGCATAGGCAATTTTTTTTGAAGAGAGGGGAGTGGGGGTGGACCTCTCCCGGTGTTTTGGCTATGAAATCCCTCGATAAAACAATTTCACAGCTGTTTGTGGGACGTTACTAATGTACCCATTAAATACCAGCCCTGTCTCCAAAACACCCAGTCAGTGCATTTCACAACGCAATCCGGTGAAGCACTCACTGCAAGATGTTCCTCCCAACAAAATTTAAATTTCATTTGCAATTACTACTAAAAGCCTGAGCTGTCCTCTTGCTCCAGGAGCCACAAGAAAGAAGTCTGTCCCTCCACATCCTCAGCTGCCTGCCCGTCCCTCCCTCCCACCCACCAACCAACCAACCCACCCACCAACCAACCCACCCACCAACCAACCAACCAACAAAACAACTTGGATTTACACAGCGCCCTCCACGCCGGACGGCGTCTCAGAGCGCCTCACAATAACGAATCTCGGGGCCGAGCCGGGGGGAGGGGGGGGGGGAAGGGGGGGGGAAGGTGACCAAAGGCGCGGTCGGAAAGGTCTTCAGCCGAGAGACCTGAAAATAGGAAGGGAGGGGAGCGCGGCGAAGGGAGAGAGGAAGGGAGTTCCAGAGCCTCGGGGCGTAGCGGCTGAAGGCACGGCCGCCGCGGGTGGAGCGGAGGACTCGGGGGGGGGCGAGGAGGAGGCCAGACCCGGAGGAACGGAGGCCACGGGCCCTGCGCTGAGGAGAGAGGAGGTCGGAGAGGTCAGGGGAGGGGGGTGGGTGGGGGGTGCGGAGGGATTTGAAGACGAGGGCGAGGATCTTGAAGACACGGACCAGGGTTTGTTTCAGCGGCTTTTGGAGTGAGGTATTGGCGGAGACGGAGACGCCAACACACACACACACACACACACAAGCACACACCCGCCGCCCTCCATGATTGATGACGTATCTCTCCCTCCTTCGCCGAGCGCCGCTGACGTGACGTGTTTGCATGACGTAGGGCCGCGCCCCCCCGCCCCGCGCTTGCCGTGACGTCGTGCTTTTCTGGGGGGCACGCGGCCGCCCGACCAATCACAGAGGTCGGCACGGCCCGACCCGGGGCGATTACAGCGGGGCTCGCGGTCGGCACGTGCTGTGCCGACCAATCGCAGAGAACGCTCGCGGTCGGCGCGGCCCACCCGGCCCAATCGCAGAGGCGCTCTCGGCCGCAGGGGCGGGCGCGAGGGGGGAGGGGGGGGGTAGGCGGGACATCCGGTTGTCAGTTGGAGCGCTCGCACGCACGCAGCATCGCAGTTGGTTTTCGGTGCAGAGAGAGAGAGAGAGAGGATCGACGGCGTCTGCTCGGCTTCTCTCTCACACACTCGCTCACACCTCCCCCCCCTCCATCATGTTGCGCTTCAGGACGTCGGCCCTCTTCCTCCGGGAGTGGCTGGAGTCCAGCCTGAGGCGGCCGGTCAGCTTCGCCGCGGCCACCTGCGCCCCCGCCATCTCCCCCTCCTCCGCCGCCGCCGCGGTGGTGCTGTTCAGCAACTGGAAGCCCGGGAGGCTGCGGCAACGAGGCCAAGGTCACCGGCTGCAGCTGCGGGCCGCCTACAGCAGCGGCAAGTCCGGGGGGGACCAGGCGGCCGGCGAGGGGGGAGCCGCCAAGGAGGCGGGGGAGGCGAACGATGCGGCTGGGAATAAGTGAGTAACGGCGGGGCGGGCGGGCGGGCGGGTGGGTGGGGCGGGGGAGACCCTGTGGACGGCCGGTAACCCGCCGCCGCCTCGGTCACGGTCCTCTTTAATCTGTCCCGAGAGATCCCCCACCGATGTAATCGTCCGTCGAGGATGTTTGTTTGACCGAGGAGGGGGGGAGGGGGCGGCACGGGGTGGGGTGGTGGGGGGGGGGTCCCGGTCGCAACAACGCCGGTGTCTCGAGAGCGCTTTCGGTGTCTGCGCGGATGGAGGGAGAGAGCCGAGGTCTTTTACTGGGGTGGGGGGAGGGGTGGGGGGTGAGAGGGAGGTATCGGGGGTATCTGCTCCTCCCCACCCCCCCCCCCCCCACACACACACACACACAGAGGGAGAGAGAGAGAGAGAGGACCCCCCATCATCACTTCGTGCGGAAGCGCAGTTGGGTCCTGGTTTGGGTCTGGTCCAGACGGGGGCTGTGGGTGCAGAGCAGCCCCACGTGGGATTAAACCCCTACAAATCCGACCGATTTTTTTTTCCCCCCCACCACCTCCCGAAATAATTTTTTTTTTTTTTTAAAAAACCAACCCCGACGCGCAAAAAAAAAACTATTATCGTTTTTGTTCGTAAGCTTTTCTTTTTGACGTTATTAGTGGATTCTTTTTTTTTCCATCTCAAGTTTTTAATCGTCTTTCCTGGAAGGGCTAAGTTCAACATAAAAAAGGGGGACACCTCTGCCTCGTGTGTCCTTTGCTGATGATTTGTTTGCCATTCGACACACGGGTTATTGCATACGGACCCGATGTACTTTTGCGCCCGATGGCTGCACGTATGCACTTTTCAGTGGGGTGGGAGGGGGGGGGGGGGGGGGTGAAGGGGAGGGTACTGAATATTCATGAGGAGTGAGGATCTTACTCTCCATCAATCCTTGGAGGAAAGCTATTTCGTCTGGAAGCACTGCTGGGATAAAACTGCGCACGGCTTGAGTGAATGAGACGGCAGTTGCACATCAATAATAATAATAATAATAATCCTCGCGTTTGATGTCGCGCTTTTCACGTCTCCGAGACGTTTCAGAGCTTCACAGAACAGACTGTAAAGTGAATTGGCTGTGTATCTTTGTGGATGAAACGCGGCAGCCAATTGCACACAGCCGTGTTCCACAAGCAGTTGTGGATTGAAGTGACCAATTTATTATTATTTTTTTTCTTGAGGGATTATTATCATCCAACATTATTATCCAACAATACAAATTGTCTGTTGAGGATTGGGGGTTTAACTCATCATTATGCCATATCTGATTCATATGACTCGTGTCTGATTCAGCTAACGAACGTTTCAGGGTTTAAGAATTTGTTAACGTTTTTCACCCAGCATCAGAAGTTAGTGCTTTCTTCTGCCAGGAGAAAGGGTGGGGGGAGAGGGAAGGAAAATCACTTTCTTTCCATCTCAATTGTCCTGAATAGAGATTGCAAGGACAAGAAGAGGAAGCATCAGAGAGATTCTGCAATTGCTTTGAGAAATGGCCAATTTTCACAGATCAAATAGCTCCACCTATGTTTTTTTTTAAAAAAAGTAGCTCCACCTACTGATCTGGGAAGAGGGTCAGCTGCCCTTTCAGCTTTCCAGCCCCTCATTACTTGATGATTGGCTTCTGAGGCTTCATATTGAGAGGACACTTGGCATTGCCATAATTTCTCTTCTTGGCACTCTTCAAAAACTCTGCTGCATCTTGATTCGTGATTCAACTAGAGCCTGGATAGGATTTAATGTGTATATTAGTGTACATCTTGGAAATCCCTGAGAAATTCCTTCTCATTTAGAAACAAATGTGCATCTCAGGAGAACACTGATTGTGTGTGTTTTGGTATGATGGTGCACAATAGTTTTGTGGTGCTGAATGGAGCCTGTTCATCATGTCTAAAAGGTTTGACCCGTTCCTACAATGGTCTTCATAGAAGTGTACATTTGTTACAATTGGTGGCATTAGATTAGGCCTCAGTACATGATCTGAGGTGCTGATTACAGGTCAGGAATGACCTTGTAGAGTTTTGCTCCAGGCACTGCTTCCTTTCCTATCGTTGGTCACAGGTACTTTCTTGACGGGCTTGCTGGCATCCAGTCCATCATTTTGGCCAGAGGCAAAACGGTCCCACCTTCCTGATTTTTAAATTCAAAGCAATTGAGATCTGACTAAAGTTCATCTATCATGTCATCCAATTTGAATTACAAGTTGTACATTTAGCTTTTATCAGAATCTAGTGATCAGCAAATAAGATTGGTGATTAGTTAATCTCTGGATGGGTTCTACCATTGATGTGTGAAAAAGCTGGACAGGATATTTTCGTGCCCGTTTCCTCCTCCTAAGTTCGGGTATTCTACGGAAGATCAAAATAGAGGACAGAAATATGACTTTGATAAGCAATACAGACAGACTGAAACTGATTCTCTGAGATCCTGGATTTGAATTGCTTCTGGCCTATTGTCCCATAAGAATGGTTGCTTTCCCCAGAATTTAGCTCACATCTTGCATCTAAACCCTTTCATTTTTTATACAGTAATTTAAACATTCGTATTTTTGAATAATCAGGTTAATTATATGAAAATGCAAGAAAAAAGTGTAAGTACATATTTAGTAAATGTCACTTGACATTCAAAAATTGTAGCTATCAATAAGGAAAATTCACACAATTGAAATAATATAATAATAATCCTCCATGTCTTCCAGATGTCTCACAGTGCTTCACAGAATATACTGTAAAGTGAAGTTTAAAAAAAAAGTAAAGTGAAATTATCAATTTAGACAAAAAACATGTTTGTGCTCTACTTAGACTCCAGAGCAGTGGGGTTCCAAACATAATAGGTGCTGTATTAATTAAATGTTTGTCAAATCTTTTTGCAACTGAGGCAGTTAAAAATGATGTGCTTTACATCCGATCTTGTGTTGAAAAAGTTGTATGACGTTTTTCCTTTCCAAAACTTTGGCAAGCACTTTTCATGAAAAGAATGCCCCTTTCATTTTGAGTTTGAGCATTAACAGTTATCCAACTCCTAAGAGTAACAGCTGACTTAATCAGTAAAATATTAAGGTTTTTTTACTACTTTGTGGAGAACGGTATTTGTGGAAACATTTCCAATGTAGTAATGGATGTGTGGAAAAATGAATTCTCTCTTCCACCCCCCTATAATTTGTCTGTAGAGCTAGTTTTGAACTTTTAGTTAACATGAATCTCTGGGCATAGACATATAAAGTATCAAAATGATGGATATGTTTTCACACTCAAGAAGGACGCACTCCTTGCTTCAGTTCAGCACTGTACAAATTGGGATGCATGCCAGATATGCAACTGAAGCAGGGTGTCTGTTGCATTTAAGACTGATTTCAACCTTTTATTCCACTGAAAAATATTTGTAGTCACAAGACCGCAATTCCAATATTTTATTGTCAATTTCTGTTCCAATGAGTTGAATATAGACATTGAAGTAACTACTATAAATAATGTTTTCAGTTTTGTTTTCCAGTGAGGGAGCCAAGTGGCTTTGGCAGGAGGTGAAAGTCACCTTTGATAAAGTCAGATACTAATTTTTTTAAAAAAAGAAAATACTGGTTAAATAGTTGTCTTTCCTCTCCCCCACTTTGGGTATACGTTTGCCAGTTTCACACTGGAAAACCATATACATTGTAAAATGAAAAGGCAAAGGTGAATGGATGTGGAATGGTACAGTATTTTTTCTTGTGCTCTGTTGAATGCTTGGTTGTGACATTTTGAGAGTACTTTAAAAACAAATTACAAATGGATGCATAGGGTCATTTTTTGTTTGTGGGGTAGGGATAACATTCCGGTACTATTCACAGCTTTCTTTAGAACTGATCTTGATTTATAACTTGTGTTGTAACAAGTACGTATTGTAAGATTAAACTAAGAGTGCAAATATGAAATAGTACATTGCATGAAAACCATTTACACAATGAGTTATTTGTTTTAAATTCTAGAAAGTGAAGAGGGAAAGTTTGTTGAACATTGGTAGCCATTTAGGTAATATTAGTTATATAATTTCAGGTCAGGGTTTATTTAGGTGTTTTTAGTTGCCTTTAAGTGCAGAATTGTAATTATAAGAAAAGTAAATATTTTGCTTGTGTTTCTTCAAATTTTGACATGTAGGTCGGGTAACAAACTTACTGCTCCTTACACGGCTACCAATAACTTAGTGTAGGAGTACTAATTTAAAAATAACTTGTGCCACAAGACGAGCACAAAAACATGGGTCAGCTCACTTTTGTATAGATTATTTTCTTAATTATGTTCTTTGTCATTATTGTTAATTGAAATTTGTAGACCAAATTTACTTCTGTTGAGAAAAAATGACACTCATCATGATTTTGTCCATCTTTGGCCAGCAGATGAGTGGTTATATAACTACAGTCCAATTTAGACGTATGCATTGATTTTTTTTTCGCGAGTTGACCTTGGATAGATATTGAAAAATGCAGCAATTATACATTAATCAGAATTGTCACTTTGATTTTTCTGTGGCATTGTTTGGGAGAAGGTTAAGCTGGCATTGAGTTAGTGAACCGATGAGGAAAATCTGCATAGTGTTTGTTATACTAGTTGGTGTAAAACTGACTATTTTAGGGTCTGGATATTACTATGGTCATAGAGCATGAATAATGTGGACGTCAGCATCCATTATAGTGACAGCTGGTTCCTTGTTTTTCTCACTCACTGCTTCTGAATCGTAGAGAATTATAATCCCAATGAAATTGCACCAGCTCTTAGTCTTAGGTTAATTTTTACATTTGCTCTGATTCTGTATATTCGTGCATTTTAGGATTTTCCAAACTATTTAAGATCTAACTCTTGAATTATATACCAATATCATTTTGGTACCTCTGTCCCTATGTGGGTAAAATATTTTTTCCATTTTTGCTGCACTCATTGTATGTTGTGACATTTCCATTTGGAATAATTCATTGATTTTCAATGCATTTGTGCCATATTCATTCTGAGCCCAGTGCAGAATGTATACTTGGGCTTTGTTTTTGAATTCATAGTTTCTCTCTTTACTTTGTGAACTCCCAGCTGGACTTTTCTGTGGCAAACCTTTAATATTTAGAATGTGTCAGTGTAGCAACACAGAATCATGCAGTTATGCCACGTGGATTCCTATATCCCTGCAGTACAATGAGTCTACCTTCTTACATTTGGATGGTCACTGTAGAACTGTGGGTTCATCAAAGAATGGGTTGATCAATGGATGTAAATAATCAATGAGTTTCTAATCCTTAGAAACCATCCCTCTTCACAGTAACATTTAGACCAGTTACTCATATTTTACTTCCCCCAACAATGGAGTTCATTGAGTTGATATTGTAAATTAAATTCATAAAAGAAGCTGAAATCATTCAATCTGATACATTGAACTGAAGAGTTCAAGTGTATTCAATTAGCAAAATGAAAGCCTATTTTATAGTAATAATATAACATCACTCCTTTTTAATTTTAATGAAAATATGTCATCTTTAGGTCATCAGAGTAAATTATATAAACATTTGATGTTCTTTATCATTAGCATTAGGCCATATTTGCCAGATGTTTGCAGATTTCAATACTAACCTGTACTGTTAGTTATTAGTGATGATAGTATCTTTGCATTTGATGTAGCAACTTTCAGACGTTGGGAGAACGACTCAGAATGTTTCATAGGATATATTGCAAAGTTATATGACCGTAACTTGTAGGAGAATGATCTTGGCTGGTCAGCAGATGGGGTGGGGGGCTACAATTGGCCTCGGTGGAAAGTTATGGGTGTTGTAGTGCTTGTGATTATTGTATTATAATATCTTCACTGTGGTGTAAGATTAAATCAACGTATTTTACAAGGACAAGTAGACTAACTTGAAGAAGCACACAAAAATACACACGTGGTCTTCTAGGATCCTGTTAATCGTGTTGATGATTGAGGCTTGTTTCAGCAGCTTCACATCACAAAGACGCACGAGCAATTTGTATTAGAAAGCTTTAAATTTGGTTTATTATTACCAAGAAACATAACGTTTTGTAAATTGCTGAATTTTTTTGTTGTTGCATTGTTTTAAATCATAAACATCAAGTCATTACATTGGAATGACTAGGTCATTATATTATTGCATTTTATCATTCTTGAATTGGTCACAAGTTGAGAAACGAATGACTCCACAATACTAGGTATTACATAAGATGAAAGTAATGTACTTTTTCTAATTATAAGTTTCGAAACAATTTATAAACAAATTCAGTAGTCATGTAGCATGCATTCAAAATGCTGATCTAAGGTTTATGTTTAATTTTAATAAAACTTATGGCTCCAATTATGGATCTGAGTTAACATTAACAGGCTTGAATCGAGACAAGAGCGTTGAAGAAAACCTCCCACATTCTATTACGTAGTTATGAGATTGATTTATTTGGGTTTTAGTGATAATTATACAGAAAATTAAATTTTTGGAATAAGGATAAGGCACAAAATATTTGTAGAGCAACTATGTATTTTTGTACTTGTATTAAGTATCTGTTCTTTCTGGCAGTGTGATTTGATCTGTTGTAAAATCCAAAGTAGTAAACACTGTCTTGGTGATTTGTGTATTGCTTTTCATCTTATCTTAGAATTGATTACAATTTTGTATAATGGTTGTGCTTATTGTTTTGTGGTTTCTCAAAATATCCATTACCATTTTAGGCAAAGGCAAAAACCTGGACTTCTGCCTAGCCTGGAAGATCTACTTTTTTACACAATCGCTGAAGGTCAAGAAAGGATTCCAATTCACAAGTTCATCACTGTAAGTACGATGACTAATATTATGCTTTTAGCCATTCAGAACTCTTAAACTCGGTGATGTAGAATCACTGGTATAGTACAGTAATGGCATTACTTTATAGAAGTCACTTAAAACTGGAAACTCACCAGCAAATATCTGTTAAGCTATTGAGAAATGTCTCATCTATATTAAAAAGGGAATAATACTGAGGTTGGCAAGAATAGAGGAGAAACCTTTTATTTGATTTTGACTCCTGACGCTGTATACAGGAAAGAATGCTGATCTCTGCTCACCATATGGCAGACCGACTGATTTACTCGATAAATCTGGCTATTTCTGGCTGCAAGAGCTAATGTTTGGGGTGGGGTTTATGTAATTAGGTAAAACTGAGTTGATGTTTTTATCTGGAGGAAGCATGTTAAAAATATTTATTTTCCTCTAAAATACTTTACTCAATGCAGACGCTACTCTTTGAAATTAAGGCCCTGGGGCAGAGCGGGACGATTATTCAGAATATTTTAAGGGTTGAATAATTCATTTTCATGTGTGCTGCAGCTTTTATCTTAAAAGAGCAATTCTTTTCTGCACCAGTTTGAATGATTTATGAAGTAAGTCTATTTGGATTTTTCCATTTTCTGCCTCGGCCTTTGACTGAATTTCCCAAAATTTGGCACAGATTGGATAACGTCAGAATTGAAAGGCCCAGGCTGCTTGTATTTGTTTTAATCCTGTAAATTGAACATGGTCCAAAACTTAATTAGCTCAATGCCTTAATATTGCCCTGATTTACTTTCTTTTGAATAGGTTCTCAAGACCACAGGGCTGAGAACATCTGATCCTCGACTGAAGGAATGTATGGACATGCTTAGGACAAATGTCCAGTCAGCTTCTGAAGGAGTTATGTTGGACAAAGAACTTTTTAAAAAGTAAAGTATGACTTGTATTTCCCCAAAATGAAAAATGTGAGTTTATTAAAGTGCACTGTGTTCGATGCAATATATAGTTTTTGAATACATTTATAGATTTTTAAAATATTCATAATTAACTAAGAACAGTTAGCAAACCTAAATTTTTTAAAAGTACTGTACTTTGCTGCCACAATACAAGTTTGCATTTGATGCATCTCTCCAGTTTACATTGTCGTCGTCTGACCTGTCTTTGACCGGGTATGCTTCTGTGAACTCGTGATATTTTGTTCTGACTAAAAGCGGAACATATCTACAACACTCTGGCCTGCTTTCCAATGGAAATTGATCTGAGGTTTATTTTTATACATTTTCTTCTATTTGAAGGTAGTCCGTGACTGAGCTTGGGTTTTACAACTTGACCTTTTTCCTCTACTTCCATTTGGTATGAATTGTAAAGTAGCATCTCCTGCACATTACCATTTGTGCCTGCCAGTAAATTGTCATCTCAATGAATGACCATGCGTTGACTATTTGCCCCGGTATAACCTGCCCTCACACAATTTATTTTTTTAAACCTACTTTTCTTAAATATTTTTAATGGATAGTGGTGTTGCCACAAGGTACATATTTAAGACAAAGTTTCCAAATGCATGCATGTAGGATTTACTATTTAGTAACAAAGGACATTTCCACTATAACATTCATTTGTGTTAAACTTTGTTAATGTTATGATTAATGTAGATAGACATTGAGAGCTTCAAATGACTTTACCAATGTAATTCAAACTTTTGACAAATTTGCATTTGTATTTCAGGTGTGTAGGAAGTAACATTGTCTTGCTCACTCAAGCTTTTAGGAGGAAGTTTGTCATTCCAGACTTTGAGATATTTACTTCCCACATAGATAGTCTTCATGAAACCGCCAAAAAGACTTCAGGAGGAAAGGTAAAGCATTCTGGAAGAAAGGTAAAGCATCTGTCTTGAAACACAATTTTATTTGGATTTCTTTTGTAGCTATTTCTTTTCTGTTCTAGTTTTTTTTATTGGCTTGCTTTGTTTTGTAGCAAAACTATTTTTAAAAAATCATAACGAACCATTTCCAACACCATTGAAACTGTATCTTTGCTTACAAGAGCTACACCCACTTTGCTTTGGTGAAGAATAAATTGCTTTCAGTGAGCTATCTATCTCTGACTAGTTGAAATTTAATAGTTCAACTATTTAAAATTAAATCATCATTCAGCAGCACCACACCACTTACTAAAATGCTAAAAAAAAACAACTGTATATTGTTCGATTTGGGCCCAGTGAGAAAACCACAAGCAAGTTTTTCCTGTAGATTCTGGGTTCTATCCTTCCCAACATTTCTAGTTGACCACCTTTTTAAAAACTTTTTTTTCATAAATCTTGGGCCTAAAATAGACATTACTACACTTGTAAGTTTAAAAGGTTGCATGTTTGAGTCTCCATTATCTACATTAAAAAATATATTTAGATAGCGTCTATCATTACACTGAATTACATTTGGCCCACACAGTATTATAGTGAAGTGACTAGCAACCGATTCATTTCTTTAAACTTAGAATTGCTTTTTTATTGTTACCCCTGTGCAAAGTTTGTAAAAATAAATGTTCTGCTTCCTCCATCAACAAAAAATAAATTAATCACTTTTGCTTAGGTTATTATTCAACAGATTCAAAGTAATTATGTATTACTATCGAAGTCTTGCCCAAAACATTTAAAATACATCGATATCTGCCTGAGATAACAATTTGTTATGCAATAAGTACTTTGAAGTTCTAGTCCATCTGGAATTATCTATTATAAGCATATTTATTGGATTTGTATATATTCGCAAACTACAAATAATTGACTTCTAACTTTACCTTGAAAGAAAAATAACCTCATATCAGTTTTGTTTGAGGCCCTAGAAATTGGCCCTTGTTACAGTATAAACCGAATAGTGATGCAAACATTAGTTGGCTAAGAACTGTTTTCAAATGACATGGTACTATTTCTATAAAACTGTGTAGTAGCCAAAGCTTTAAAATTCCAAATTGTATTTTGTCTTTTAAGCAAAAGTCAAAAATAATGAAAAGCTAGTTCATTTACATAGTAAAGTACGTAGAAGAAGGTAATCTTTAATGAGGCATCCCTGGGTAACTGATTCTTCTTTTTTTTTTAACCCCAAGGTTGCTGATTATATTCCACAGTTGGCTAAATTTAGCCCAGATTTGTGGGGCGTGTCTTTGTGCACAGTGGATGGACAAAGGTAAGATAAATATGACTTTTATTGTAAAATGAAAACTTATAACAGGATGTGGAGAATGCATGCTAAACAACATTCAGTACTTTGCATTTCAGTCCGACTGCATTTTGACTTTTAATTCAAGCATGATTAGCAATAAATTTTAAAAAATGGTTTCTTGGTGACGATTTTAGGTTTTTTTTGAGAAAGCATTCAGCTAAATAGCCTACATTCCATTTTTTCTACAATTTCTATTTTTTGTTACTTTTCAGATACTGACATAAATTACCTGCCTCAAATAGCTAGATTTATTCTTTCAGCTGATTCGCTTTAACTTAAAATTTAAAGAAATTTAGTAAGCATTCAGTCACCAATATTAGCCTTATTCTTAAATATTAATATTATCTAAGTTTTCAGCCTTGTTTTCATCTTCAATAGTTTGTGCTCGGATAAACTTTACACATTGACATTGTATTTCTTATTTTTAAAGTAGTCACATAATTTAACTTTGACTCAGTCAGCTAAGATGAGCTCTAAAGGTAAAAAATATGCAACATGTTTCTGGATAACTCATGTATCCTATAAACTTTGTAGCATGTGAAAGCTGCCCAGAAGTAAGAGGTACCTCAACAACAGTTGGATTGTGCCGCTTGGATTTATAGAGAGTTTGGATTGCCAATTAGTCCAGAGTGGTACTGGCCTGATGGCTGCAACTCAACTAGGAATGAGCACATTTACAGCTGATCAGTGTTTTTCTAATGTACATGGAAAAGAGCAAGACAGAGTGAAACATTGAATATTTTTATAACGAAGCTATTGCACATGGAGCAGGTTTGCAGAATGGAATCAAAAAAGTAACGCGGTCAGTGTTACAGGAGGTTAATCAAGTGACCTGATTAAAGCTTTCAAGAAAATTAAGTAAGATCTTCAATGCTTGAGAACATTCCACATTGGCAATTGATAGCTGTTAGGATTCTTGGAATAATTGTCAAAGTATGGAACTAGTTATATAAATGGGAAAATCAGGAAATTGTTTTAGGAGCATTTCAGATGGAAAGAGGTTGTAAGCAAAGTGTTGCAGGGTTCATCTTGAGTCGTTGCTGCTTTAATATAGACCAGTGACATAAATCAGATCATTGCAAGGATAGTGTTCAAGTTTGTAGATGTAGGAGGCAGAGCAAATAATGAGGCATACAAAGATGTAAGCAGGCCGTTTAATTTTTACCATGAGAGCAGAACAAGAAACGACAGTGGTTTAAATAAAACTCTTTCTGTAAGACCAGAAATTGGAAGCAGATCCGACCCAACAAAAGCAATTAGTGATAGATACTTAGTTGATTATCTGCTGCACAAAAGAACGGAATAATTATGTTTTGTCAGCAGTATGGAATTGGTGCAGACTGAGTTGAGGGAACGCTATGGGACACAATGGGGGAAAGTGTTGTTTGTGGAGGAAAAGGGCATCAGAGAGATTACAGAATTGTTTGTAATATTTGCTGCATGATCTATGGTTATTACCTGGGATTATCCGTACATACAGAACTTTCCCAAGGACATATTGGGTGGAAATATGATCTGTTTTGCATGCCTGCAGAAGGAATGAACTTTTTTTTCTCATGCATTCTTCCTGTGTAACTGGAATAAAGATGGCAGGTATAGCTTAATGCAGATGAATGTAAAGCATTAGTATAGTAATTGAGCAAAGAAACGGGTATACAACGCTGATTAGGAAAAAGATCTGGACATTACTTTGGATACATATGTAAACAATAAACAACTGGTTAAATTTTTGGCTTTCATAAAGTGAATAAGATACTGGGTTTCATTAATAAAAAAAAGTGCAAATCATATTGCGATCAGATTCTACCCAGAGCACTCTCTGTAGGTCTGGTTTCGCTAACCTTTGGAAGAATATTATTGCCCTTTAGATGGTACAAAGGCAATCGGCCAATATTCTGGTTTCAGGAATTTAACACTCAAGAACAAGTTAATGAAATTGTTCTCTTTCGGGAGGAGAAGGGGAGTCATAGAGGTGTCCTTTTTAAAGCTTTCAAGAAAATACAAATGAAATTTTCATTTAGTTTGAAAGTATATCTTATTTTTCTCTCCTGCCCTTGCTCGCTATAATCACCTTCACCATTGTGGTATTGTATTAAGGAATTTGAAATAAAACTACCTCCAAATATAGTTATAAACCAACAGTGTTGGGCTTGAGAATAATATTTGCTAAGGTACTTGTTTTTTAATATTGTGAATATTGACATTCCTACCTAATATTAAAATGAGTTTACATTTGGTGCGAATTAGGAGCTTTGGTGGACATGTATAGAAATCAAGCCACAAAAAACCTGGAGCATAAGTTTGCTGTCTGAATAAATCCAATGTCATATAATTTTGGCATTATAGACACTAGGTGGTTTTGCCCCATGGATTGTACATTATTGATGCTTAAAGCAGCAGATATTACTAATACATTGATTAAACAATCTTCTCCAATCATTCTACTGTGTTCAAAGTTTTGTCACATCACAGCAAGACTAGTTTTGAGGAGAAATCTATTTTACTCACATGTATGCTAAATTTAATTGATTGATTTCAAAATAGTTTTAAGTAACTTGAAAACTTTTAGATGTTTGTTTCAGATTTAAATTTCAGATCCAGTGTTATTGATCTCCCATTAATAATTGGCTGTTAAGGTGTCCAGCTACTAATCAGTTGAAAGGTAAACATTAGACAGTAGCAACGTTGAGAATTCTGTGTTATTTGAAGCTTCTTTTAGTGAGGACAAAGTAATTGTTGATTAAAAATGTAAATTCTTAAAGCATTAAACATCAATTATCCAGATATGACAGAGATGGACTGTTTTCTCTCTCCATGCCCCTCTTTCTCACTATCAAGTCCATTAATCCAGTTCAGGCATTCAACATGCAGTTCATGGATTGGACTGTTGGTTAGTAGATTCACAGCTCTTTGCTAAATGAAAACTACAGAGCAGACCACTAACAGGCAGTTAAATGCTGTGAACTGCATGTTGAATGCCAGCTTCATTGACATTTACAATGAGAATGATGTGGAGGTAGGGGTTGAGAGTATGGGTAAATTCTGGTTTACCGGAATTGCTAATTATAAAACATGTTAGATTTCAATATCTATATTATTTCCTACAATTTCATCTGAAGAAATATTAAATGGACACAGAATGAACAGTATTAGTAATCCGCTTTCTATGAGGAACAAATCTGCTTTTACGAATACCAAGGTTGTGAATTACTGTGTATACCATTATGAATACCAAACTAAATTTACGAACCTTGTTGGCCTGTGCTGTCTTGCAATGAGTTACAATTTTCATTGACTCTGGTTATGACATGACTTGTACAACACCTTGATTTTTCTTGCGGCATTCGTTATTTAGGAAGAAATAATTATTCTTAGCCTGAACCAAGTACAAACCTGCATCCGACAACTTGCTTTACATTACATTGAGACTTCTATTTTGCCTGTGTTTGAAGTAAGTCGTCTTTATTTTTTATAGTCTTTCACCTCTGTGGAAATGAACTTCAGCCAGGAGAGCAAGTGGGTGGAACTGCATATCACAACTTCAGTGTGCCAGTCTACTGTAAATGGCTAAAAGGAGGTGTGTGCTTACACAGACCAGTTCCCATTGTTTTGTTTTTGCCTTGATGGGATGTCATAGCAGAGACCACCTGAGTACTGTCGCAGCTCATTTGGCAAGGCTTGAAATCAAAGGTGCAGGATCCAGTAGCTGACAAGTTGCTGGTCTGCAGCAAAACATTGGTCTCTCGACAAAAATGTAAAACTTGCTTTCCTTTTACACCAGTTCGTGCCTGAAATACTTTTTGAGAACCTTGCACAAACTGTTCACTGCACGCGGCCATACCTTGCAGTGAACACAAACTACCCCAACTTAATATCTCCTGTGTTATGCAACACCCGAAGTCATGTGGAATTTCCACTTGTCTCTGTTTATTCAGGTATAAGCTTGAGTTCCATCCATTGTTCGCCTCCATTGATCCTCTATTGCGCTCATGAAATTTTGCACCTTGAGTCAACAAAGTGCAAATGATAGCACCATTTTAATTCAAGGTGTGGAGTATGCTGATCTATCATCTGTGTGATTTAGATTCACTTGTGAGATTATCAAGAAAAGATGAAATGCACCATGGAGTTACAAAGTCCTCATGCATCTGTTCAATTCAGAAGTTTAAAAATTCAGCTCTTCAATCATTGGAGATCTGATTGTCACTCTGACATGGATACTCCTTGCTCTTTCCATGCATTTGTGTTTGTATATTTGGAGCACAGCCTTTCTTCATTCAGAAACGATGCAAACCAGCGCTAACGTATGATTTGTTAAATTGCAGCGGTTGATGCTACATTTTTAAGTGTGGCATGACTGGGGCATGACATTTACATCAGTTGAAATGTATTAGACTGGGTACATATTTGCCACCTTAGAATTGTAGCAATATTCATAGACTTATGTCTGGAAACTCACAAGAGGATCAAACTTGTAGAATTATACGGCATGTTGTAACAATTTCCCAAGGCTACTTGTAACAACAGAATATTTGTTCTGTGTTGATTTTTTTTAAACCTTAACCCTTTGAAGGTGCAGAAAACATTTTGACTTGTTTGGATGTTTTGAATAAATATTTAAAATGCGATGAGCTGTGTATTGCAAGCAGAATAACAAAAGGCTATTGCAATTAACGTGACTTAACAACATTTAAATTGGGTAACTTTTGTAAATTTGTCATGACGTTAATTAGCACATTTAACCTGACTAATTTCTAAATTTTAATGTACAAGTTTATGGATTATCTACATTGTCTTCATTTTTCTTCAAAGTTGATGTAGCATCACACACAGCATATCGCTTGGGTGAGCAAACTAAATAGAATGATTCTGAAAACTGCAATTAGGTAATGAACATATAGAATGTATATCACACATGTTGCAGAGACGTTAGTTTCTTTGTTTGTGGGTAATATTCCAGTCTCAACTGGGTACAGGTGTATTTTTTGCCTTATTGAGAATTCTTGTTTATTGTTTTATCAGCTGAAAAGTTGCATTGCAGAAATGTGCTAATTGTAAAACTCAGTTTTGTAATCCAGCACATCTTTTGTACGAAATGGCCCTTTTCAAAGTGGCTCAAACCTCATTTTTACAGAATATCTATAGACCAGTTGATTTTTACATTGATTCATTTTCTTTATGAATAACATTATTTATTGAATGATTGCATTTGTGACTGAGAGAAAAAATATTACCAATTTATGTAAAAAGGACATTTATTCACTTAGAAACCATTACATGGAGCCAGTGCTCTTGGGAAGAGAAGAAATGCCAGCAGTTGGTATAGAAATATGTACAAAGCAATCAGAAACTTGTTGAATTGTAGATTTATTTTAAAATATGATTGTTTTCAGTGTAAACTAAAGTATTAAGGGCATCTAGTATAGATTCACAATTACTATTGTCATTAGTAGTTTCGTTTTCTGTGCAGTATGGATATAAAGCAACTGTATGCTTAATTAAAATATGTAATGGATAAAGCTTTTTAACTTAATGAGGGGGTGGGAGCATTTTGTGGTGAAGCTGGTTACTATTGTTTCAGTGTGAGAATGTGCTGTCAATAGCACCAGTATATCACGTTTTGTGATGAATTCATAGCAAACAGCCGAGCATTCACCGTTTTAATGCTTAGAAATACTTAAGTCACCATTGTGTATATTCCTGTTGTTTTCTATATTGTTGAATGGTATTGTCTGTATGGCGTAATCATCTAAAACTTTCTTCCAGGCATTCCATTGGAGATACTAAAGTTCCCTTTTGTCTTCAGTCTTGCGTGAAACCATTAAAATATGCTATTGCTATCAATGATCTTGGCACAGAGTATGTTCATCAATATGTAGGTAAAGAACCCAGTGGATTACGATTCAACAAGCTCTTCCTAAATGAAGAAGGTAGGATTTGTAGTTTGAATGAAAAAAATCTTAATTTCCTGATTCTACAATAGTCTCTTAATCTGATTGTTCACCAACAGCTTTGGAGGGTTTAAGATTTTTTTTTAGCCTTTTGTTAAGTCTGTATATCACTGGAGCTGCACTATTGTAATTAAGCTTTTCTAATGCACCATTTAAAAAAAATTCAGGTATCTATTATTGTAGAATTTATATGCATTTAAATGTAGTGATCCAGATTATTCTGGAAACCAAAATCTTTTAAATTGATGCATTTTTCACATATTCAAAACTATTGTTTAACTTCCCAGTATTGTTTCATCCTGAACATTGATTTTGGATTGATTGACAAAACATAATTACTAAATAACCTTGCTCTCAGGGTTTCTTAGAGGATAATGGTTACATTTGACCACGGTAATTAATGGGTTAATATGGGTTTTGCATCCACCAGGCAACAGATTTTCTGTGTTTGTCCTATGCTATTCCTAGTAGAAGCCTTCAGATGTAACTGAGCTTCAATTGGCCTTTGGAAGACCGTTGCCATAGTTTATCTTGTGAAATTTTAATGACTGGTTCTCGCTTACCCACGTTGCGGGTGTAAATTATTCCATGTACATGAAGAAACAAATGTTTTGAACTCTCTCCTGACATGAATGGCATTATACAAATGTAATTTGTTGTTGCTGCACCTTGAATGTGTAGATTTCTATGGTGTTCAGGAAACCCATGTCATGCTTCTTAATAGTCAAATCAAATGGACATGAACATGGTATCAGTTTTGAAACCAATTGATAAAACTGTGTTGCTTCAAGAACAAAAATCTGATACTTTAGTTTACTGCTAACATAGCCAGTTGTTTCAAGTCTGTTTCTATATCTGTCATTCATGTTGTATATTTCATTATGTATCATTTCAGATAAACCACATAATCCTATGGTAAATGCTGGAGCCATTGTGGTTACGTCCCTTATAAAGGTAAGACGATTTAGTTAAAGTCTTAACAGTTTGAAATATCTCAAAGCAGTTCACAAGTGATTATTGTTTTGTAGGGTTACATTCCTTCTCCCTCACCATAGGAATTTTTGAGTGCAAATCTCACTGCACTTCAGAGTAACTGATTATGTGAAGTGCTTTGACGTGTTACTGCATCGGTTTCAATTTTATCTTGCGTATATTGCTTTTCACTTGTAAAAACAATTATGCATTGAGATATATTGTACTTTGAATATGTGTACTTGCAGTTTGGATTTAATTGTTGTCAATTATGTAACGTTTTTCCCTTTCATTTGCAGCAGGGATTAAGCAACGCTGAGAAATTTGACAGTGTAGGTATAATATTGAATTGTTCAGAACCTGATTTTATTGTTGTCTCTATGAAAATGCACGGTTAAGAATTTATACACATTTCAGTGAATGCTTTCAAACATTGGTTCTATTTTGCAGGTCATGCAATTCTTGAATCAGATGGCTGGAAATGAGTATGTTGGATTTAATAATGCTACGTAAGTATTCCTTGCTTTTTAACATTTTTATAAATGGGAGGGAGATTAGATCTCTTCAGAACAGTAGCCATAAAATATGCATGAACCTAATAATAGCTAAGGCTGCAAAGTGGCGTGAATTAATCTGTATGTTTATTAACTTCATGTCAAATAGTGTCAATCTATAGGTTGAAAAAATTCTTTGAGATTGCAATTGATTAACAATTTACTGCTTGAGCTTCATTTGTTTTTCAAGATAATAAATTGATACTGTTTTTAGATTTCAGTCTGAAAGAGAATCTGGAGATCGAAATTTTGCTATTGGATATTACCTGAAGGAGAAAAAGGTTTGTACAACACAAAATTAGATTTGTATAACGGCTTTCATGTCGAGAGGATGTCCCAACATGCTGTCACTGTAGTGACAGAATTACACATTTAATAATAATCCCCCCCCAAAACAATAATAATTTGGTCACTCAGTCCACGACAAATGTACAGTCAATTCACTTTACAGTATATTCTGTGAAGCACTTTGAGACGTCTAGAAGACGTGATAAGGATTATATCAAATGCAACAATTATATTATTTAAGCGGTTTGCATGTAAGAATTTGTTTCTTCACAGCATCTATTTTATAACTGAAACCCATCACCCAGATTTTTTTAAATTACTGTATTGTGCTGTGTAGGAACAGACATGCAGCTTTTATGTGCCTCCTTAAGTGTTGTCTGATCTTGGAGAGCAATGATAATGGTAAATATGAAGAGAGCCAATGGTCCCAAACATTTATAGTCCCATTAACTGCAAGAGGATCGATCTACAGTGATTAGCTCCCTGCAAGGGGAGAAAGTTGTGAAGGAGGCAAAACCTAATTTCCTTTGTATGTTTTCCTACAGTGTTTTCCAGAAGGCAGTGATATGACTAGTATACTGGATTTTTATTTCCAGGTGAGTTTCTTTCCTATATTCTGAATATAACAAACTGGGTTGTTAGTATTAGTTTGACTCTATTGGTAGTGCTCTCATTTTTGGTCAGAAAATAGTAGTTTCAAATTCCATACTAATATTACATTGCCAGAGGTGCCATCCTTAGTACGACATGTTTAAACCAAGGTCACATCTTCTTGTTCATTTGGATTGAAAGATTTCAGTGCACTATTTCAAAGAAGAGCAAGCCATTTTCTCTGTATTCCTCCCTCATTCAAATTCATCCAAAAGTAATTTTGGAATAAAAAACAAGAGTCACATGCAATAGAACAATTTGTGTGCATTATTAATTTCTAGCTACAATTCACAGAACCATTTTCTAAGGTGCTTCATTATAATAAGTTTTGTTGGAATGTAGACTCTGACATTTACTTGCGCAAAATTATAAAATGTATTTGGGTGTAACTGCAAAATGAATGTGGAAGTGCCCATTATAGTGCTGGTTATGATTTTATCAATCTCCATTATAACCAGACTTCACTGTACTGTTTCATCTTGTCTCATGTTGTTTCACATTTATTTTATGTTGCCTCTAAATGCAAACTAAAGTAGATCCGGAGGAATGTTTAAATATTTAATGAATATAGTGATCGGCCGAATGGTGGGGGGACTGTACCTGCCCACAATTTCAATGGGAGGCTGAATAATTACTAAAAGTTCTATTTTCTGCTGTACTTTATTTTTTAGAACTGTAAATGGCGAAACTAACCTGAAAGTTCCTCTCCTTTCTCCCCCTCTACACTGTTGTCATATTTTGATGCCAAAGCCCCATTTAAATTCTAAGCAAGCTTGTAATACTTGTCATACTGAAAATTGTTCTTTTATTCAATATCCCAAAGCTGTGCTCCATTGAAGTAACCTGTGAATCTGGCAGTGTAATGGCAGCAACATTGGCCAACGGTGGCATCTGCCCGATCACAGGAGAGAGGGTTCTGAGCCCTGAGGCTGTTAGGAACACGCTGAGTTTGATGCATTCCTGTGGCATGTATGACTTTTCGGGCCAGTTTGCCTTTCATGTAAGTAAATTTGACTCTGATTATCTTTGTCATTGAAACAAGAACAGGCGAGGCTTGTCACAAATTTATTTAGAGTGCGGTCTCATTGTATTTTTACCAAAGAAATTCCAGAATAGCTGCGCTGTTGGATTTGTGCAGAAAACTTGCAGATTGTACGTAGGAACAATAATTAAAGGAACAATTTCTGGATTCAAAGATATAAATTTTTTTTAAAACAACAGAATTTTTGAAATGTTTGGTTGACAAAGCAAACTTTTTTTTAAAAAAATGTATTTGTCTAAACGAATGGTGGCTAACCTTTATGGTTGGCCAATAAAATAAATTTTCTTGATTGAGTATATTTTGTATATGCCATAAATCAAGAAATATTTAAGCAAGAAAAANCTAAAAATACACTACCGAACGATCACGGACTTACCTGGATTTGTGCAAATGTTTGGGGGCCACAGGTTGGTCACCACTGGTCTAAACACAAGATTCACTGGAGATCATTTTCTTCCTTTGTAATAACTGATAAAATAAACTGTCTTTCATAGAGGTTGTAAGATTTGCTGAACAATAGTCTGTATCTTTTAAATCACCACTGTTTTGTGTGTTGTTTTTGTCTTTGAAAACTTCAACAACAAAATTATTATCCAAAGAAAATCAGGAAAATATAAATTTCCATCAATCAAACTTCCAGGATAGAAGAAGGCATATGATTTCCACTATTACAAACCATACATATAAGCTTTGAATATTGTAATTGCAAAGCTCATTGTGTCTTAACATTCCATTAGGTCATAGCATAATGTGTTCACTTTTGCATTAATTATTCACGGCGTTTCATTTGACCTACAATGAATACTTGATGTGCTGGCTGTAAAAGGGATGTTATTGACAGACGAAAAGGGTAATAATGCTGATTTTACATTTTTTTGTGTCTCAAGCAAATTCCGACAAAGAATATTAGCATCAGAAAATGGTCTGGTTTTTCCTTGACTTATTTGTGTGGAGTATATATCCCAGATGTTACATTAACATAATGAATCTAGAGTATGAATATTGTGTTTTAGATTCTCATCACACAGAACTATTGCAGTTGCCGCAGCTAACATTAAATAATCTTGGTGCAGTCAGTACAAAGCATCCTAAAATCTTCATATTTTGTTCTATATTTTATTATATAATGCCAATGTATAGTTTTTTTAAAAAATTATGTTTCGCTTTGCAGGTTGGCCTTCCATCAAAATCCGGAGTGTCTGGTGGTATTTTGCTGGTGGTACCAAATGTGATGGGTATCATGTGTTGGTCGCCCCCTCTGGACAAACTTGGCAACAGTGTTAAGGGTATTCAATTCTGTCATGTAAGTGTAAAGAGGAGAAGCATTTTGTGCCACTTATTACTGTGGTGTATGCCAAGTAACTCACATATTTCATAGATGCAGCATTAGATGAATTAAAATTTTTGAGTATTTTCAAATTAGCCTATTATATTTGACTTTTAAATTCAAGAAAGCTTGTACAAAAAATAAGCTTATCATATGAGTGGCTAATGATGGTTCCCAGTTTTGCCACGTTTCTTGTGCTACACAGTAAAATCTATTTCTTCATTCAGCTTTGCGATGCTATTAATCATTCATGGGACTGTGAGCCAGGGCTAAGTGAATCAGCACTAAGATAGTCTTAATTCGCTTAATGGTATTTGTAATTGTAAACTTACAACCCAATTTCTGCAAATTTGAGTCCAAACTACAAAACAATTAATGTTAGGAATTTGTGTATTCCACTATTAGAACCAGTTCCCATGCTGTGGTACACCTTCATAGGGATTCATACTACACCCGTGAGCCTGGATAGCAAACGATTGTGGTCCAATGTTATTCACAGTGGAAACTGGAATCATTAGATTGTTATTTGGTGTGTGTTAGGTCTTGTATGTTTAATAGTTTAGTGGGGGATTCTATTGTTAAGATATGTAACTGTCAGTAAACTCTTGAGGAGTATCTTTAAATATTTGTAATAGTAAATTTGGGATTTTTGTGTTTTAATTTCAGGATCTTGTCTCTCTATTTAATTTCCACAATTATGACAACCTGAGGCACTTTGCAAAGAAACTTGATCCCCGGAGGGAGGGTGGTGAAGTACGGGTAAGTTTACCCATGTGTAAGATACAGTTTTTTTNATGCATTTCTGAATTTGCATTCAGCTACACATTACAGATTCTGTGCACTACCAAGACAACTGAGGTAGTACTTGAATCCCAGTAATAAAAGTTGCAGATTTTAATTACATCATGTGTGATATTTGTATGCAGGACAGCTATGTTATTTCTATAAATGTAATCTGCTACTGGCAGCTTTCCCAAAATTTAAGATTTGCCATCAAGAATCCAAATTTCTTTCTTTAAGACAAAAGTGATTTAATAAGTTACAAAGTTAACAAACAATACAGCAGCAGGACAAGGCTTAAATGAGGCGAATCAGCAAAATACATTTTGGCTTATTAAGCTCAAACAAACAATGTCACATAGTCTCTTCAGCCCAAATAACTTATCACTTACAATACCCTGTCATTGCATCAGTTATGTTATAAATTGTCATGCAACTTGATGCTTGAAAAAAAAATGTTAAAATGTATGGTGAGCGAGCTGGAGAACAGGATTAGACCAGTCTAAACACCATCCAAGTCAAGTGGCCTATTTCTGCATTGGAATATTCTATGATTCCTCTTGTTAAGAAGATAAACTGTGGAAGTAGGTTATGCAGCAGTATATAGTTTACAGAAATAATATCAGTTGTATTTTCCCTTTTTTTAAATAAATATATCCTGCACTAACTTCTCACTTTAGGCTATGATAATATGTGTACTTTATCTTGACTTCTGTCCATAAAGCTTCTCTGTGTGTGAGTCACATTTCCTCTTCTAATTCATATTTTCACACCGGTGCAATGTGGGTGCTCTTCCGAGGTTTGAGATAAGATGGGCTATGATTCAAAGTGAGGGGAGCTGTCTAGTTTATACTTGACTAGAGTTCTTGATACATGGAGTATTCAAAATGGGAAAGTATTCTGTTCCTAGTGTTAAAATTCGGCAACTTGGTGAGCACAAAATATTCACATCATCTTATCAAAGTACAGTAACCCTTATCTATCTGCTACTAACATGAGTTAGTACCCATGCATTGTATTGTGAAGGTAATTCATAGGCATCTTGCTTCATCTCCCTGGTACTTTCTAACTCATTAGGCTGTGTCTCAATCCAGTTTGACTATAAGCATTGCTATAGTGATAAATTTACATGCATACTTGAGCTCACAGGGCTCACATGTATTTGTAATATTGACATGTTATTTAATCCTAGTACTCTGAAAAGTTTGGTGCAATGGGTGGATAGGTTGCTGTGGACTTCAAAACATTGCTTAATAGACAAACAGCAATATCCACAAATTTTAAAAATAAATATCCATACTTTATAATAACTAATAATCCTTGCATTTAATATAGTGCATTATCATATCTTTGAGACATCTCAAAGCGCTTCGCAGAATATACTCTAAAGTGAATTGACTGTATATTCTGGGGAAAAACTTAAAAAATATTTTACTCTAACTTTCAAAGTAACATTTTGATTATACCGGACATTTTCTAAATTTAAAATTGAAACTATACAATTAATAAAACAAATATGAATTTCTATGGCTTCACACATCTTGGGATATAGCCCTTTTCTGTTCAATGTTGTGAATCCCTGAAGAAGTTTAGCCCTCCTACTTGTAGTGGATTGTAGACCTGGCCTATTCCTTTACTTTCTCTGTGGTATTTGTGGTGGTTCGTCTTTCCACTCGGTTGTATATTTCTTCATCTTACTTGGCCTCTGTCATTTGTCATTTTTCTGTTCTGTCTAAGTTACATTGGGAGCAGGGAATCTGTGGATCTAACACATGACAGTTTGGGTATATCTCAATCGCTTTGCTCAATAACCGATTTACATGGATCCCTGGACATGTTCAAGTGAGTTAAAAATAGGTTAGAAATCTATTTTTGACTCGCTTGAACATAGGAAGTAGCAACCTTTCACCAGATATACCTTTAAGTAAATGGTCAACTTTATATATAGTGATGTCACATTTTTAGTTATTAGAATCTAAACAGTTTCTGTGTTTTCTGTTCAATAGATCTTCAGGCCAGGAAATATTAATTACAGTAACATATCTGTTAGATTCTTTTGAATGCTTGTCTGAAGGAAGGCAAAAGGAGAGCAAACTTTGAGCCATAAATTAGATTGCTCATTTAGTTGTCATAACATGAAGAATCATACTGTTTTAAATTCACCTCTTGAACAACTCATCTGAAGATTTTTATCTTAAATCCCCAAATATTTTACTGGTATACATCACTATTGTGCATTTGTAGGACTCAGAAATGCACATAAAAGTGCAATATATATACTGAAGTTGACAGAAAGTAACTTTCAATTCAATAATCTTATTATTACCTATTTGTGTTCATAAAGTAACAAATCAGTATTTAGGATTCTTCTTCCCTCTTTTTTATTAAAAAAAAAAGAGAATAAACAAAATGGGTCAGAGCCAGCTTCCCTTGCAGGTCTTACTTAATCTATCAACTTTCTGTTTGAAATTACTTTCAAGTACACAAATGAGTTACATGGTAAATGAACATTATTGATAAAAAGTATACCCACCAAAGCACTTTTCCCCTCAATTTGTTAGTCGATTAAATAGAATTGAAATTGTATTTAGTTATTTTATTTTTGAAAAGCTAAGCATATTAACAGAAAGAAAATGTGTTTAAGTAGATTTGTATTTATAAAGAGAGTGAAGAAAGTTTGCAGAAGTGTAAAATATTACTTTAAAAAATTGTTGTATATACAAGCACTCTCTAAAATTCATAGATTCAAGCAATCTAATTATTCATATTACCAGCATACCTTCGGATCAATGAACTATGAAAGTCTGCAGCAAGAGCTTGCACTTAAAGAGCCACTCTGGAAAAAGGTACCATCAGAATCCAATGAGGAGGACTCTTCCACTACCATAGTATATAGAATGCAAAGTCTAAGTGAAGGAGTCTAAAGCGACTGGGTCATAATTTCACTGTTCCGGAAGAGTGCAAGTTCTGAATTATTCTCAAGTATTTATTCATTAACCCTTGTGGATTCCAGAGCTTTGGATAAACCTATTTATTTGTTTGTTTTTATTGCACATTGAATGATGCAAATACCTGGTTGCACCAGTGGTTATGAACTTCCTTCCCATCAAAGATCACAGTACCACAGTGTCTTGCTTGAGCGGCTGTGACATACTAGATTGTGGAGCAGTAGGGTATTGATCAGAGTAAGAATTTCCACTCAATTTCCACTTGATTTACTGTGCTGGTGATCCCAATCATGCTGCCACGGAAAGTTTGTGAAATCTAGGCCAAGGACTTCTCCATTGGGAGGGGAGTAGGGGAAAGAGGCTAGAATGAGACAGCCAGTCTGTTTGTTTCTACATGTGTTTCTCCCTTTGTCAGTGATTTATGACCAGGTTGTTCTGTATCTATTTAAATAGCGGAAGATAAAGAAAAGGAATTACCTTTGCTTTTCTTTCTAGATACTTTTTTTTGTTTGTTTTACTTCAATCTTTTTATTTTCCTGAAGTTCTTCTCTTCCCCACCCCCCACCCCTTCACTCTTGTGTCCTGATCAGAACCTGCCTGACTGGGATACGGTCAGTGTCGGGATTCTGCGTGACTGGTGGAATAGATCCAAGTGTCAGTGCAAATGAAAAGGCTATTTAGCCAAGAGTAAGAGTAATTCACATTGAATCCTGGCACTAGCAATATCTCATGTGAATTGAGACCCAGGTGCGTGGAGTTGTTGAGTTTACAAGTGTGTTTAGAGGGTTGGGGGGTGTAACGGTGCAGTATTATAAGTACTACTAGATTATACCAAAGTCTGGAACTTGCACTTTACAAAGTTGCCGAAAACAGTTTACTATGTTGCCGAACTTAAAAAAAAAAGGCAGGGGATTGAATTATATTGAATGTATGTAGAAGCTGTCAATAGTGCACACATTCTGTACAAATTATACAGAGGCTGGTGCGGAAGATGTGTAGCATTGAGACACGCACTTCTCTGAGGTTTGATGACCCAGAGGTGTGATAAATTGACACGGGTAGACTTGACTGAATCTGTAGTGGGTGTTCATAGTTCCAAACCTGGTATAAATATTGTATCACAATAGTAACTGGGTGTTATTGATGTGATAAAACTACTAAATTTCAGCATTTTTTAACGTTCTATGTGCATGCTGTGTTTTTTTAAAGTATGGATAGTTGCTGCAAGCTAGATTGTAACTTAGTGCAACATGGTTCAATGGCACAGTCCAGTTATGTGATGTGGTGTATTGCTGAGATTTTGTGTTACATTCAGCTTTGATATTGCAGTGGTTAGAGGATAATTTTTAATTAAAGTTTAAAGCAGACATGTCTTACCAATTCAGATTATGTTCTCAAATGTTGGCCTGTGCTATAGCTGATATACAGTATGATGTAACCTGGTTATGTTGTACATATATGTGTAAATGAGTTGAAAGGTGTATTCTGAGTGAGTGAATTCTCATCTTGAAAATACTTTAGCAGCTGGATTTATAAAAGCATGTTCACTGTGGACTGCTAGAGACTGATAGATCTCTAGAGTAGTAAGTTTGTTCTGCAGCAAGTCCCAGAATTCTAAGTAGTTACATAAATTGAATTTTTTTGTAGAATAGAGGTTGTATTGACAGTTTAGGCTAAGCAACATTGCTAGTTGTTTCCCAGAAAAAGTCTTCTGGGGTGGATATAACTGGAATCTCTTAAAAGAAATGATTACATTCTCTATTGGAATTTAATGATCTATGGGAATTAGATGTCAGTAAGTTTAGTCTTGTATTTAGTAAATATACCTACTAGAAAACAACTAGACAAACTTGTTTGTCTCAGGCTGGATTGTCAAATAAAAATGGTGGTGTAGGTGCTACACTACTGCGATTGACAGCAATGTATCTGTACTTACACCCAAACTAACTCACTACAACCTTCTTTGATTTCAGAATTGTAAACTGTTCTCCAGTATCATTGTCTCATATTAGGTATAGACAATTTAAGGTT